GATGGTTCCTTGGTGAGAGTTTGGCACGACCACTGGCTCCCCAGTCCCTCCATTTTCCAGATCTCTTCCCCTAGACTAAGCAACTGTGACATTTCCTTGGTTCAATAGCTAATTACTTCTGAGGCCAAATGAGATATGCCTCAATTGGGTTCTCTTGTCTTCACTGAAGAAGTCGACTTAATCCACACTTAATCCGCACTATACCTTTGAGTAAACGTAAGGTGGATGACAAGCTTGTTTGGCATTATGACAAAAGTGGTTTATTTACTGTGAAAAGTGCGTATCATGTCACACGCTTGTGGACTATCCCAGTCTCCCTCACATCGCCTTCCTTCGTGAGTAGCAGCCCCTACTTTATTTTGTGGGAGAAACTTTGGTGTGCTTTGATTCCTCCAAAGGAAAAAATGATGACATGGAGGATTCTCTCCAATATTATACCAACTAGTGTGAACCTCACCCAAAAGTGGATCCATATTGATCCATCGTGCATCATGTGTGGGCTGAACCAGAATCTACTCATCATATTATGCTTGATTGCCATTTTGCACAAAGTGTTTGGATGGCCTCTCCTTTGGGTCTTTACCCTGGCTCTTTGCACAATTGTCAAATTAAGGACAAGGCTCTTCAAATGGCTTTAAACATTAAGCAAGCAGATTTTGATTGTGTCATGATGATGTTATAGGCAATTTAGACGGCCATTCTGAGCTCAACCTTTGCCCTTTGATTGTGAAGAGAGCCACGGATTGGTGGCAGGATTTTCTCATAGTAACAAGCGTCTCCCCCCTCCCCCCTACGGCCCGGCCCGGGTGGGCCTTCTGTCATCCCCAGATGGTCAAGTCCTTCGTCAGATAAATTGAAAATTAATGTTGATGGTGCCTAGCTTAAGGATTTTTGCCTTGGTGGAGTAAGTATTGCCATTAATTATTCCTAAGGTGTAATAACATGTCCTTAATTTTATGGTTTTTATAATTTTGAATGTGTGATTTTACGAAAATGCCCCTAGAGGCGAGATTTTTTACTTTCGTTGACTTTTGTGTCATGAAACGTTAGATCTAATATATTAGTGTATTCGTGTAGTACTCGACGTAAAGAACGTGTGGGCACAAATAGAATGTAATTTGGAGTTATAACAAAGATTCTATGAACTTTTAAATGTTAAGGATATTTTGGTAAATTGAACATGTGATATTTTTGTCTAACCATTGGGTGAGTGCCACGTGGGCACCCCCAAAATTTCTGGAATTCTCTCTCTCTCTCCTCCTCCTTCTCTCCCGTAGCGTTTCTCTCTTTCTCTCTAACTCTCTCTCTCGGCTCTCCCTTTCTCCCTGTGAAACAAATCACCACCACCACCAAAATTCGAATAACAAACATTATAATCATACTCATCTCGACCCCATGAACCCAGCTATGAGTTTTATTTCGTAAAAATCCCAACAAAAAAAGCACTGTTTTGAGCAGCGAGTTTCCTGATGTTTTTCTTATAGATTATGGCTAAGGTGAGACTTATAACCACCATATTTGGATTCCTTTCATTGCATAGATGAATTTTCATGTTTGGATCATGTGACTTGGTTAAAAAAATGACAAAGTTATGGACGTTGAAAGTTTTTCCAGTTTTCTGGCAAGGAACCCAGTTTTCCTGCAGACCAGTCAACTTTCAGGCCATTTTCCAGCCATCTCCAGCAACCATTGAGCTTTCAACTAGATATAATCTTATTTTACACTTTCCTATCATCGTTTTGATATAATATGGGTCGAATTTAGTTGAGAAACGAGTGAGTTATTAAGCTTTGAAAATTGCCCAGAAATTCGGCCAAAAACCTAGATTTCCGATGAGGTTCTCGGCGGCCGGTGGTGGCTCTGGTGACCAAAATATTCTTTTTGGAATATTTCAGGAATATTCTTGGAGTACTCTCTTGAATATTCTTTGGAATATTCCTTGCATCGACTTTTACGAAATTTTCTCGGGAACACTCCTTGGCTAATTTCGATGCCCTGAGTCCGTTTTTGACATATGTTTAGTGAAATTCTGAAGTTTTAACGTAGTTGACCAACTCGGCACCTCGGTTAACTTTTCGAGTCAACCGTTCACTTTTTCGTTGAATTTTTACGAAATTTGGCCAATACCCCTCTTAGGGTAATTCGATGCCCTGATTCCAAATTTGTGCTCCATTTTCCCAAATTCAATCATTTTAGTAGGGTTTTACTAATTGATCCCTTTATGTGCTTAGGTGCGTTTGTTAGTGGCGATCCCGTCCTCCCTAGTTCAAACGGATTTTCAGCGACGGAGTATCTATGAGTGGACCCCTTCTTAAATTGCATGATTTTTATTAAATGCTAGGCTTGCATTCATGAAAAGCATGGTTTCATGATTTATTTACGATTTATTGAATTTACGTTTATGAAAGATTTACGAACCATGGCTTTTTATGCTTTATGATATATGATGGGTTTACAGATGTGAAGTTATGATTTCACATGGTGGATTTATTATGATTTCACCTTCGAGTGATGGGACCTACCATATTTCTTCATTGGCATAACTCAGTGTTGTACAACTTCACCCTTGGGCGACGGCTATGCCTTCGAGCAACTATGATACCCCTAGCTGAGCACTTTATTATTTTGGGTTTACAAGGTTTCTCGGATTTGCCTTTGGGCGATTTCAGTACCACTTTTAAATATGGTTTTATTATCTATGAATGTTTTCATGGCACATTAGGGTTTTCAGAAAAACCTAGTATGTAGTGTTATATAGTGTTTTCAAAACATGGGGTTAGTATGTTTAAAAGAAAAATGGTTTTACTTAGTATCATTATTATAAACTTTGGTCCACTGACCTTTTTGTTTTACGCCCCCTTCAGGAGTTAGAATCGAGGCATACGATCTTGGTGTCAGGGTATTCCCGTATAGGTATCTTCGAGCCTTCTCGATGTAGGACCTATTCCTTTGTTCATACCTTTTTATAATAATTATTTCACAGTATTCTTGATTAGTTGTATGCTCCAAACACGTTTCCACATTTGCGTATTTCTTTATATTTACATATTTTATTTGCTTCCATTTACCATGCATCGTAGCTCATCGTCTTGCTCGATTTGCCCTCCACTCCAGGGGTGACTGTACTTGGATTGATAATCCTCCCTCTATTATTAGTGATCTTAGTGTAGAGGAAGAATCATATTCTTGTACTGTCTAGCCTTTTATGGCTCTTTCAATGAAATCTAATGTCGTTTTATTAAAAAATAAAAATAAAAAAAATAAAAAAAATAAAAACAAAAAACATGCTAGTGGCTTGTTTAGTAAGGGAGTAATTTTTGGCTCCCACAATACCAAAACCCACTTAATCCAATAAAATGACTGGATCTTCTTCCCGATTATTTTCTTCATCACTTTCTATATCAATGATTGAATCTTCTTCCCGAGTATTTTCTTTATCACTATTTGTATCAATGGCTACTATATAAGAAAATTTGTATTCAAGCAAAAAATTGAAGCAAAAAGGGAGGATTACAATTTGTGGATTAGATTTTGGTGGAAAAAGAGGATTGCAATTTGTGGATTTGATTCAAGCAAAAAAAGGATAAAATTCATGCAGAAATGGAGGCGAAAGTATTTTTTTGGTTTTGATGGAAAATGAGGATGGAATACGAGGTATCCCTGAGAAATTATTAATGCTATTAAAGAAAGGTTGAAACTTAGCAATCAATTTTCATTTGATAATGGGTTTTTATCACAAATAGTTCCTGAAATTGATCCTTCCCATCAAGATGGTCCCTGAAATTGAAAATCGATTAATGTAGTCCCTGAAAATGGGTGTTGCAAATCAATGTGGTTATTCTGTTAGAATTCTATTAAAAATTTTGTTAAGTGCTGATGTGACACATAATTAAGTCCCACAAATCTATTAAATATTACCATGTGAACTAAAAAATATTTGAATAATAAAAAACCTTTTATTTTTACAAAAAAATGACTGTTCACCATCTTGTTTCCTCTCCCACCAAGCAACCATTACAGTCCCACACCACCATCTCAACTGCACCTCCGGGTCGAGCGACACCAGAGAGGTTTCAGTTGGATTATCATCGCCGAGGAGCACGAGGACCGCGAGAACGGGGGTGTGACCGATTGGACTGGTTGGAGCCGACGACGCCGATACGATCGCGGGACAAGAAATGTAGGTTCGAAAAGGGCATGTGGTTGGGCTTAGAGTGATTAGACATATGAGGGTGAAGGTGGTGGTGGTTTTAGTGGATGGCAGGGAGAGGTTAGGAGCGGAGGAAGAGGAAGAAGAAGACATTGGTGGTGAGTGGTGGGTTTGGTGGTCAATGCTAGGTGGGTGTGGGGGTTATGCATATTGCAATTGCATTGTGTGTTTTTACAGGGCTTAGGTTGATGGATGTGTCGCTGTAGGAGTCGGGTTGGGTTTTTGCGGAGGGGAATATTTAAATATTTTCTAATTCACATGGCAATATTTAATTAGATTTGTGGGATCCAGTTATGTGTCACATCAACACGAAACAGAATCTTTGACACAATTGTAACGAAAGGACCACATTGATTGGTGACACCCATTTTCAAGGACCATGTTGATCGATCTTCAATTTTAGGGCCATGTTGATGTGATGAGTTAATTTCAGGAATCATTTGTGATAAAAACCCTTTGATAATTACTATGCCACATGTTATGCATTTATTAGTAAGTACTACCAACTGTCAGTGCCACGTGGTACTGTAACATCTAATAATTTCTCCAATTTATGGCAGAAGAAGATTCTCTACTCTTCTAACTCTCTTTCTATCCCTCTCTTACGATTAAGTCATGTTAGCATTTTATATTGATTTTTTTATATAAAAATAATAAAACAAAAAAAAATGTGAGAGGAGAAGAAGGAAGAAATGAGAATAAGAGGGAAGAGAATCCTACTCCGTTTATAGCACTCAGCTATGAATCGAGGAGTGGACCATAGACAGACACATGTCGCTCTAATTCATTCCAATGATTGTCTGTTAACATATAAACGCATTTCGGTGGCTGGCATAAGCAATTGCACATAACCCTCCTCCCCTCCTCCTTTTGACACCTTATCCACCACCACTACCACGACGCCGATTCTACGTCTAAATTCCGATTGCATTTCTCTTTCTCTGCAAAAAAAAGGGAAAGATCATGGCGGTGCTTGCCCACTCGATTGTGATTTGCTTCGCCTTCTACCTCCTCCTACCACTCACTCAGTCTACTGATGTCAAATATTGCAGTCAGTTTCCTTCCTTTTTTATTATTATTATTTTAAATTATTTTCGTTTCTCTAATAAGAACCCAATTTTACCGTGATTGCTGGAATTAAGAGTTGCATGATTTAGGGTTTAGGCTACTTAATGGAATTACTTCGTGTATTTCTCTGCTTTTGATTATTTATTAATTAATTAGTTCATTATTTATTGAGTAGAGCGATAGTAGCAATGGGTTAAATAGTGAGTTTTTAGGGGAGGGGAATCGGTGGGGATCGAACCCGCACCACGAGTGCATGAACTGCGGTAATGCGCCATATGCTTGATTCTTTATTTTATCATACCTTGAACAAGTTTGTTATCTATTTGATTTTAAATAATCAGTATTTGATTATTTTATCGGCTTTTGCTATGGAATTTGCCAATAAGCTTTGTTTTATAATTCATTTACAGATAAGAAATTTGGGGGACTGGGGTTTGTATTTTCAGTTTCTGCATTAATTTGAGTAAATATTTGCTTTTTGTATTGATGCTAATTTTATTGTTTTTGAGACTACCTTCAATTTTTTTTTTTGATTTATTTGATTTTTGATTTTATCAAATTTCGATCAAATTTCAGGCCTGAAAGATGAGTACCCTGTGAAGGTCCAGGGAGTCAAAATATTGCCTGACCCAGTGGTGAGAGGCAAGCCAGTTACCTTTAGCATCTCTGCCACAACAGGTATATTAACCGATTTCTAAGTTTTTTGTTTTTCACCTTTTCTGAATCTGTTCACTGTAATTCCGGTGCAGATTATTTCACTTTTGGTCTTCTGTATTCCATTTTGATAATAGTCAGATCAAGTATATTAAAGGCCAGCATTTGTCTCATCAAATTAATTAAATCATCTTAAGAACTAATGACATACATTCAAACTCAGTTTTCCATTTTGAAGCCAAATGTGATTGTTGTGGATTCTGTTCTCTATCTAGTTTATTAAATATAACCAGTCCACGTTGATGCGAGTGTAGGCTTCTAATCAGCCAATTTCTTCATTTAAGACAGCTGGTTGTCTGTAATTACCAATTAGCTTACAACAATAGGACAGATTTGAGGGAAAATTTATGTATCGGTGCTCTATAATTATATAAACCACTGTATTAATTCATGTTTTAAGAATTTCTTTTTCTGCATATATCCACGTGTCATATCTGTCGTATTTATTTAGATAATTGTGCCTGCTAATCTTCATACAGGTCAAACAATTTCCAGTGGGAAAGTGGTGATCGAGGTTTACTATTTTGGGATACGTGTGCATGCAGAAACCCAGAATTTTTGTGAAAAGTTATCCTGCCCGGTTTCAGCAGGCAACTTTCTGCTTTCTCACACCCAAACCTTACCTGGGATCACTCCGCCTGTAAGTTTCATTATAAAGATTATACTTACACATCCTCGTTACCTTTACCATTCCAAGGTTCTTAAGCCACTTTTGAGGCATACTTGCTGACTTCAACTTGTAGTGAATCTCTCAAGTACTGATGTGCACTTGTGAGCTTATGTGTAATTGTTTCATTTCATGATTGATACCAAAATTTGTATTGTCGTTGTTTATTATAGGACACCAACAGTTTGAGAATGTCTGATGATGTGAGAATCTAAAACAACTATGAATTAATAACATAAATGCATGAAAACAAGCTAAGTAAGTCGCCTAAATATGCTCCTATCATCTGATATAATTTTATACGCTACATAATTTTTTTGGGACTTTGCCTTTTTATTTTTTATACTTCCCTTTTGCTCTTTATTGTGTTCTTAAAGTTTTGACATCATTTGTATTGGTAACTTAACTTTCGTAAAGCCTCAATAAACTGTAGAAAATTGACTTTTCACTTCCTTTTCTACTCTTTTTTTTCCCCCAATATAGATTTTCTCGTACTTCCTTGGATGTGCATAGACCTAAATAGACCTATCACGTGGTTTTTTATTTTTCTAAAATTAAATTTTTGTATTTCATCACCTCCTAGTTTTTTCTCTTTTTAGCGTCGCTGCTGTTGCAGTAGACGATAAGTAAGTCCATTGAGGCTCTGTATCACATTAGGACAGCAAGAAATATATGGTCATTTCCTTATGGCCACATTTTATATTTATGAGCGTTTTACAATTGTTTTATACAACTTGAGTTGTGTAAAGATATCTTGAAAGATACATATAGCTTATTGAGAACTTATACCTTTTTTTTTTTTTTTTTTTTTTTTAATCCAATAGTTTGGAATTCCATAGATTCTTCTTTGTTTTCTACTTTAAGTGCTTTGTTCTTCCTTTTAGAGACAATTTTCATGTTGCAGGGGCTTTTTATAATTATCCATTGCCTGTTAATAACGTTTTATTGTTTTTTGTGTTTATATAGCTATTATATCTTGTGCATGTTAAATTTCTTTATTGACTTAAGAGATTCATTAATGTACCTTGTAAAGCTCTAATTTTTAGTTAATTTAATTTTACAGAATCCTCTTGTTTTTGTTCCTCCGATGCTGTTTTATTTAGCATCTTATTTCCTTTCTAGATTTAAAATTATCAGCAGCTTGTTTACCTTGATTGAACATGGTTGTTTACCTCGGTCTGCTTTTCTTTCATAGATGTTGGTCCTCGGTGCCACGTTTTGTTTCATTCTTTCGTTTGGAAACACGTGACACTTATGTGGTGTGTGTTTGTTGTCTGTGTGGAGCATTTCCTTGAGTTTTTGTCTTACCATTGTACATACGATAATAATTTGACCATAGTGTTGAATTTTCTTCTGGTAATTATGATCATCTAGTCCCATAGAAAGAAGGAAATATAACAATTTTATGAAGAAAATGTGAAAATAAGTAAGAATAGAGGGAACCAGAAGTCCACCTTAGAAAACTCGAGAGAGAAAAAAGGGGAAAAGGAAAAAGAAAACCCAAAAGAACCAATAAACTGCAGCTTCCCACGTTGTAAAAGTTTTTGCCATTTTCGTTCATTGACGTGGCAGTAATTTGGTGGTTAAGGCTCATCAGGCATGACAGATGAAAGAAAATCGTTTTCTTTCTGTTATGATTTTGATGCCATTCAATGGGTAGCTAACAAGATGCAAATTCGAATTCCTTTGCTTATTAGCATTGCTTCTTAACTGTTGTGCTTTGAACGTATTGTTAGTGATGCGTTTTATTCAGATGTTTCACAGATAGAGGTGTTTCATGCTTGCAGGGATCTTACAATCTGAAGATGACAATCAAGGATGATAAAAACAAGGAGTTGTCTTGCATCAGTTTCAACTTCAAAATTGTCTTGCAGTCGCTGGTGTCTGCTAGTTGAGCACCCAATGACTACTGCGTTTTAGCGATTGTTCTTGATTGGTATGTAATTATAAAACCAAAATGTGTGTTTCAAGTGTCTTGATGTTTTGCCATCTGTAAGGATCGGGTCGAATTCCATCAGTACTGAATGTGTTTTTGCTAAACAAAACGATATTATGAATGAATGTATAAAAATATGAACGTCGCACTTGATCGAAAGATGATGGAGGATGAACAAATTTGGGCATAGAGAATGGAATTAATTGATTGTGTTGTCTCATTCCTTTCATCACCAGCATGGTATACAAAAAAAATACTGTAATGACAGCAGAGAGTTGCGAGTCCGTTGTTAAGAGCACTCACTCTTGCGCAACAGTGGTTCTATTTACCGCAATTTTGATGCCTAGCTGCGCTGAAGTTAACAAATTTGTTAACAGTACTTGCGCAACATGGACGCTGACATGCATGTGGACACTGAAAAACTTACATGCTTTAGAAAACTTAATGACTTGGATTAAAATTTTAATTTATATATAATACCCAAAATTCAGTTGAGCTCATTTTAACAGTTTGATTCGCATTGCAAGTAGCTTGTAGTTCAGTTGGTTAAAAGCGTTTGTCCTTGCATTTGAGGTGTTGTGGTCGAATTCTCCTCCCTATAGTTTAATGATTCGCATCATAAAATGAAACATAATCGTAAGGGGTGGACACGATGCGGTTCGGCTTGGTTCCATTCTCAAACCGGAATCGGAATTGAAAAATATCAACGGTCCAGTTCAGGGCCGTTCCGTTTAAATTTATTACTAAAACTGTACGATTCTAATCACCAAGGTTCGGTTCATGCTGGTTTACGATTCCGGATACTAAATCATTTGAATCTTGCAACCATATATTTAGAGCACCTAAAAAAAGTCAAAGGATTTTTATAGTAAAAGATAGTAAGTGGATCATACATCGAAGAACATGCATGACTAATCATAAAAAACGATGAACTACAATAGAAGAAGATTTAAAAGTTAAATGACACCAAAATTTTACAAAGTTTATGAAATTTATTCATATCAACAATTCACAAAATGTAAACTAACAAATTTAGTTTGCTAACCCATTATGGTTACTAATTTAACAATCTAGAAACGTGGTTACTAATTTGCAATCTAGAAACGAAAGACTGAAGCACTCTTGTAAAGAAACATGATCAAACGGTTCAAATTCACAAAATTTTCAAAACCCAATTAATTATATATTCCAAAGTTTGGTTTGGTTCTAAGCAGTTCTGCCAACGTAAAAATTGAAACCAAAATCGGTATAAATGGTTCGGTCCACGTCTTGAACCTGTGTTGATTTTTTGTTTTTGTCAACACCATTTATTTTATCTCAATTCGATTTGATTTCGCGGTTTCGCGTTTTTATGTCCACTCCTAATTGTCGTTGATAGAATGCAAGATGATCAATGAAAAAATAACCAATGAACAAAGTCACCAGCAGTCTAGTATTATTCATCTCTATCGTGGAAGAGTATAAATTCGACTCTCCTCGATAAAATGTTTGATTCTAATTTATAATTGGTTACAGCTTCTCTCCATGGTGAGAGCCTTTCTCTCCAAGATGAGAGTTCTTCTCACTATTTGTGTGAGACTTTCAAACTCAAGAAAATCTGGTGGCACCTACCCTAGCTTCATGCGGGTCGGTTGCTGTTTCCTCCTTGCTTTCTTTCTCTTTTGTTTTCATTGCCTCTACTGCTTTTTCCCCTAAATTTGTACTACGATTTGTCCATATCCTTTATCCCTGAGGGTATAACTCTTCCCGGCTCTTCCTTGGTACAATATTCAGCCATGCATCCTATTGAGATTGTGCGTAAAGTTCTGGTGTTTCCTCCGGCTCGAGTGTTTCCAACATCATCACTTTCTTTTTGTTGTTTGTTGGTTCTGAAAGTGTCGTTCATGGTTTTCCACAAGCTTCATACTGGTAGTTGGCTTCCCTCGCTTAGTTGCCAACTATCCCTAGTTTATGGCCCTGCTCAGGTAGCAAAGCAGGGTTAGATGTGGCGTTTGATGAGGCGATACCCCTTAGTGGACAAGGAATCATATGTATTGCCTGAAACTGGGTCGGTGGAGAAAGCTCTGGAAGCTTTTGGTTTTAGATGTTTTGTATTAATTTTGGGCCTAATTGTTTTTAGGGTCTTTTGTGTTTTTTGGTGTTTTAGGCCTATTTTTGTTTGTTTATTATATATTGTCTTTTGGGCATTTGGTTTGCTTGTATGCTTGTATTTGGTGTTTAATCAAAATGTCCTTTCACCAAAAAAAAAAAAAAAAATAAATAAATATAATTGGTTCAATATCGTTGTTTCAGAAAGAAAAAACTTAGGGGGCGTTTGTTGCGCCGGACTATCTCGGAGTGGATTAGGTTCAAGGACTAAGCTGGACTGGCTTAGACTAGACTAAACTGGACTAACTTAGTGAAGCGTTTGGTGCAGTATTAGACTAAAAAGCTGGATAATAACAAATTCTATTATTATATTATTTAATATATAAATTATTAATATTTTATTATGATCTTATATTTTTCTTCATTTTTTCCTACCATTTTCTCGTTAAATTGGATGAAGTTAGCACCGCCAAAAAATTCATCACCATCCCTGGACCAAGATCTTAGCTTTGAATGCTCGAATCTGTCATGGATTTGAAGAAGCCTAAACAGGCCGAGACTTCCAGGCCATTTTCCAGCCACATTCGACCACATTTTGGCCTCGATTCAGGTAAAATCGTAATCTTGTCACTCCCAGCTTCAATTTGGTATATTTTGTATGAAAGTTGGTTATGAAATGGATCTAAAAGAGAGTCGGAAAGTTAATGATTGATCTAGGTGACCGGAGATGACGAGGAGTCTGTCGAGAGTGGTCGTTGAGCATGACGAGGACGAGAAAGAGAAGATAGTCTTAGCTAATCCCATGGTTATTGGGGGGTCTCGCTAAGACCTCTTAGTGAAGGGTTTTGTCCATGCTAGTCCCCTTTAGTCTCATTAATGTTAGTCCCAGCATGGAACAAACACAGTATTGGACTAATTGCTAGTCCAGTCCAGTCCAGTCCAGCTTAGTGAGGGCAAACAAACGCCCCCTTAAAGTGGAATGGCCAAGCCCACTGAACCGGACCGGATACAAACTCGGAGTGGAGAGTGGTGCGCATTGAAGACCGAAACGGTTGTCGCGTACGATTTTCGGTCTCAACAACCCACTCGCAGTAGCAGTAGCAGTAGCAGTGAGAAGATGAAATAAAAATCAAGATATTGGGTAAGCAAAATCTTTTGTATTTCTTTCAATCATCTTAGTCTTCTATGATACGATGCAGTGAAATTTGATTGTTGGCCGTTCGATTCGGCCGATGGTTTGGTTATGTGTGTACGAGTTGAGCTTGCACGCCATATGTTTGATAAAACGCCTGTATGAAGTATATTGGCATAATTCATCTGAATTCGCACTCTTTTTGTTTGCTCCAGCTTTGAAGTTTGAGAGGTGAGATGATGAGAAGGCAGGGGCAGTATGGTGATTCGGGTGCGAATGCGTATGCCGCCGCTGCTCCGATGCACCGTATGTCTGGTCAAAGGATGGAGCACAATTCTAGCCATTTCGAAGAAAGGCTGGAAGCTTTCACTCCACCTCCAGAGAGGGAGAATCCGTATGCAACTTCGAAATCAGAGGACCAGTGGAGATGGGAAAGAGATGGGTCCAAAGGGTCAAATCCAGTGACATCTCATATGTACAATGAAGGTAAGTATTTCTTTCAACTCTCTCGCAGTCTCATATACATACATGCTGAGTTTGCTGTGATATGAAATTATGAATTGCTAAATCTCGAAATCTTGTTACGTTTTTGTTTTGGTTAGTGGGTACAAGTCAAGTTAAAATCTAAATTTTAAACTAAACCATATATTTTGTTGTTTGAAGTTCGTTTTATGCTCTCAAAATGTAGTTCTCAAGGGTTTTGATCTTTCCAGACCTCCGTAAAAGAGGTTGGTTGTATGCATTTTGTTTTAGTTGCTGACTGCAAAATTTGATAACTTTGGCTAGACCTCTCACTTTTCTCACGAATATGATGGAGCAATACCTGTAAACTATGCTGTGACGCTCAAGCTAGGAAAGGAGATGCACCTTAGCAGGGTTTTTGTACAGGAATTCCATTCCTGTTATGAAGACGTCATACCATAATTGTTATGATCCTGAGTCGTAATGGACAAGGAAATGGAATCTCTTGATACCTGTCCACTGTTTCCTTGTTGATCTTAGTTCCTAATAAGAGATAGTTATAGATTTTCCTTTATAGGATATTCTATGGTCCTCAAGGCGGATTGCCCTGAAAAAACTCTTTTTCCTAATCAGCATCCTATGCCAAATTTATCATACAGTCTTACCGATACTGCCACATCATTTCCCCCTATTTCTAGGTGCCGTGCCGTTAAAAAATGTCCACATCTAAACCTAACTTTAGATTGACCCCTATGCCCAAACATCTCATGACAGTTCTACTTTGAGGACTCTTCTTACGGTGAGGCATAAGTTTTCATTTCTTAATGAGGATTGATTATTCAAGCATCAATAGTAACCTTTTCTCCCTTTGCTGCCTTCATCGTGAATGCGAAAGTAAGGATCTTCATTTGCCTCTTATTCTGACTGTACTAAGATATTATGGACAACTCGCACAGCTTTGTAAAGCTAGGGATGGTTTGTGGTGGCATATGCCTAAACTAGAACAAGGTTGATCCTGACAAAGTGGATTGTATACATGATAATAGTGAGCGTCATCTTCTCCTAATAATTCCATTTTCTTCTGTGAAATGATAATAGGCTGCATGGAATCGATTTTCTCATTGAACATCTTGGGGTTTAGGGTTGAAAACTTATTTTGTGAGAGGGTGATTAGTTGATCCTATAGTCATCCTGCGAAGTCAGTGATGGTAAAGTTTGGCCTTTATGCCCTATCAAATGTTACCCCATCTCTCTCACCATTCATCCTGCACTGCCCTTGGAGGCTCTTACATTACTTTGTATCTATCCTAGACACATGGACAAAGGGATCCTGGTCATTGGCTGTTCTTTTTTTTCTAGTCATTTGGGCTTACGGGTTCTTTTGCTTCACCAATCTGTCCGGGAGCAACTTGTTCTCCCGGAATACTCCTGCCTTAGAGCTCATTTCTTTGGGCTAAACGCTTTCGGTGGGCCTCCATAGCTAATCTAGCTACTTCTTTGGCCTATTTTCTGGTGATAGTGCCAGCAGCAACTCTGCAACTTTCCTTAGACCTCTTTTTCAACAATCCTTCATGTATTCCGTCCTAGCCTTAAGCAAGATGCAAACTTAGTTTACTTCTATATAATTCCTGGGTTGTCTTTAGCCAAATCTCCAACTATGTGTTTAATCGGCTAATTTGACCATAAAATTTCATCTGATGTAGTGCACATAAGAGATAAATGTTGGCATGTTAGAAGCATAAAGAGTGACTGGATATTAGTTTAGGAAGATAATGAAACAGATCCATAATTCCAGGAAATTTTATTACTCAACAGTGGTAAACCTATTGTTGATTTACGAATTTTTGTCTCAGTGTCATATTATAGACGTCACATTCCTATCATTTTACCGTCACTTGCAAATTATAATATAGAAGCTCCTACCTGAGGGGCAGCTGGATTAGGTGCTCAGATGAGGGCCTCTAGCTGATGATATGCCTTATACTTTCCTGGTTGATGCTTTGTATCCTTAGGTTCACATGCTTGGTTTGCAGGTCAAGGAGGTGATACATCAAGATCTTATTTCCAGGGTCAAAGGCCTGATTCAAAACATTCTTTGGAGAAACAGAGCAGCAGCAATTCCCAATCTCAACCACTTAATGAAGCTATGGACCTTGGATATGAGGACAAGCCTTCGTCGCAGACTTTTGAAGATCTTGAGAAGAAGTTCCTTGATGACATTAAAAAACTAGTGCATGAACAAAGTGATGCTGAGGATGCGGAAAATGCTAGGCATAGAGAGGTTAGTTTATATTTGGAAGTGAATTTTCTTTTTATTTGGATTCCCAATTTACTTTATTTGGGGTTTTGTGGTATACTTCCCAACCCCTTTTTTCCTCTGAAAAACAGACAATATTTTTAATTTATGAGGAAAATTAAAAGTGCATTTTCTTTTAGTTAGCCTTGTCTTAGTATGCTTGACTCGTGAACTCATCTTTAAACACAACTTGACTAGTGCATTGCAAGTGTGGTGCCTCATAGTTGAGTAGATAAACCTTTTGATATTCATTTTCTGAACCTGATTTAAAGTGGTGGTAGAGACTTAGGATAAGTGCAGATTGGGTTGGGTTTATTAAGGCAATTATTAACTGAAAACAGAATTTTAGTGAAACTATGGCATAAATTAGGTGAAAGATATTTCTTTGTTTCTGTTATTATGGTCAGCTTTTGATTTTATTGTTTTTGTTTTATTTCTGCCTGTATGGTGATTGACTGATAGATTGTTGTAAAGTTCTTTATTTATTTTGTATTTTTATTCTTTGGATAGATGAGGATTTTACCCTAATTTTATGACGTTAAAATGCCTTTAGTTCACGTGTGTTTCTTAACTTCATGCTCATCCAATCCTTTTTTTTCCTTTATTAATTAGTTTGGGAATTATACATGTGTAGCTTAGTTGTTTCTTAATTAACAGATCAAGCCATAGTAGATAGTAATTTTCATTGCTCGATCCTGTAACAATTACTGGCTCGAACCTTCATTGAATTACCAGAGAGACGGGCCAAAGGCCCACTTCCAACAACACCGATGGTGGCCCCAACTTGGTAATTACCACCTACATAATCAGTAGGTGTGAGGTTTTATCACAAAAGGTCTCGGTATTAGTTGGAGTGGGGTTAGGATATTTAAACTCTTCTTTTCTCATACATACAGTTGATGTGGGATATTTCAACAACCTTGATACCTGTAAGGGCTATCTTTTGCTTCAAAGGCTTGTTTTCACTGTTTTAGAACAAATATCTTTTTCTAAGTCCTAGACATAGTAGGAACTGCCAGCTAGCTCCCCCCTTTCCAGATCCAATTAAAACCGAGGAGAGTAACAAATGCTTTTTATGGGATCTTTTGCTGTTTCTACATAAGTTGAATTAATTGGTCCAATTGGAAGGAGAAACAAGGAAATTCAGAACTTCATACATATACATTTGTACCGATCATAGATTGATGAACTATTACTATAAATTATTCAGGGGCAGTAAAAGTAGCAAAACCTGAATGTGTTATTACTATTTGGAATGTGAGAGAAAATCTTTATGACACATCATTGCGAAACTAGCGCATATACATAGATAGTGGCCCATGGATTAGTTTGGCCCGTCTCTCTGATAATTCTACAAAGATTCAAGCCAGTAATTGTTACAGGATCGAGCAATGAAAATTACTATCTACTATGGCTTGATCTGTTAGTTAAGCAACAACTAAGCTACACATGTATAATTCCCAAACACAACTTGACTAATGCATTGCAAGTGTGGTGCCTCATAGCTGAGTAGATAAACCTTTTGATATTCATTTTCTGAACCTGATTTAAAGTGGTGGGAGAGACTGAGGATAAGTGCAGATTGGGTTGGGTTTAGTGGCCCCTGGATGGGTCTGGGTTACGTGTGCTTGATAATTCTTCAAAATTTGTTCAGAAGTTCTCCATGGATGGTATTACTCTCTTTTTCATGTTTATGCTTCCTTCCAGTCCTTTTTTCTAAGGATAATGGTAGGGAGACCAACTTTTTAAACCAAATTTGCAAATGAGGTGTCACCAATAGGAAATAAGCACGTTAATCGACGCTTAACTAATAATCCAATCGTTAACAACCACATCATTTGGTTTGCAAATTTGGTTTAAAAATTTGGTCTTCCTAGCATTACCCTTTTTCAAAATAGAGAAAATTCGGAAGCTATCGTTGAGCCCCAAATTCATGGTTTATATATATTTGAACATGCTTAGGTATTCTCTAGATACCCTACGAATCAAACTTGTGCGTTGTGAAAGTATATTTTCCATTTACTCACCAGATGTGTTTCAGATTATAGTTAGATTTCTTAAGTCACTAAAATTAAATCAGGATGCGGACATGGCTGTAGCCGCCGTCTTCCTAAGCCATAAAACTGTTCTTATTAGAGAGGTTGCAAAGTGTGGATAACTTGTACTTCTGGCAATGATATTTCTTTCCCTCAATAGAATACGAACTATAAAAGGTTTCAATGTTTTGCGTATTCTTTCCTTTTTCTCACATCCTATCCTTAACTGACGATGACGATTTATTTCATGATTTTATCTCATGTAGATAGATAATTTGAGATGTTCATTTGTCTTTGTTATTTATATCTTACACGTAAGTGCATTGTGTATGCGTTCTCAGAAAATTGGCGTGGTCAATGCTCAATACCAAGAACAGCTGGCAGCACTTCGGGCACGGCATGCTAAACGTAGAGATGAATTACTTGAGAAGGAATCAAATGCCCGACAGCATCAGTACCAGCAATTGGTGATAGATCGTTACCCGAACAGCAGCATGGGCGCCTCTGATCATCATGGGTACAGTGGAGTTGCAGCCTCGGCTCCTGTTGGTGAAGCACACCGAGGGTATAATACTGATCAACATGATTCCTACAGTGAGAGGGCTCGATTTCTTGGGGGTTCTCGGGATCATCGGTTTGAGCCTAGAAGTCCATATCCTGGAGGTCGTGTCTATGATACTGGTTCACGGTATTACTGATTGAGCATTATGTTAATTTTCTTGACCAGGCTTATGCAGTATTGGGTTAGGCAGGTTGTTATAATAGTAAGACTCATAAAAGTGAGTTATGTTTTGACTAGTTTTTGGGTGTTGTTTGGCTGAATGATGTCACTGAGACTGTGAAATGGTTGCAAGAGAGAATACAATGTAGTCTTTTGACTAGTGTTGGTAAGATCGTTGACAGTAGTGTTTTCAAATGTAGTATTGCACAACCAGTCATGATCTCCTCCGCCAGATCAATAAATTTCGAGAAAATTGTAGCAATGATCTTTCAACTTTAACCTAATTAGAGCAATGGTGCCTCGATTAAAAATGCATGATCATTGGTCCTTTAACTCCTCAAAACATGCAATTATGGCTCTTATTGTCAACTCTATTAAAACTTCTATTAAACTGAGCCATGTGCGAGTTGCCACACATGTGAGGTTGAATCAAGGGCAAAATATGGGAAATTAAATGAAAAATTGTAAAAATGGTCCCTCAACTTTAACCTAATTGGAGCAATGGGCTTTTAACTTTAACCCAATTGTAGAAATAATTCTTCAAACATGACTTGTTTTGGCGGAAGTTCTGATAGAGTTGACGAAAAGGACTAGGACCAATGGTCATGGATTTTTAGTTGAAGGGTCATTGCTCAAATAAGTTAAAATTGAGAGACCATTGTTAAAGATTCCTCATAAATTTCAGGCGGAAGAAAGGGTGGCTAGAAAAATTCCAATTGAAACATTAAATCCTTAAGGAATTAACATTTCTCTCTTCCACGTCAAAAAGTTCCTCTTACTTTATTCATGTGCCCAGGACTTCCAGTAATAGAAAAAGATTGGCTGGCTATCAAAAAGAACTTTGTGTTGTAAAATCGACGATGTGTGTACAGTGGAATAAATAAAACAAGACACAAAATTTACGAGGTTCCTCTACAGTCAGTGTGACTGGAGTACGTCCTCGGGTAGCAGTGATACTTTCATTATAATTTGGAATAATAGGAGTACAAAGATAACTCTATGTATTCTCTCCTCTCCTCTTTCTCTCTTTCTTTCTCTGCTCTCTATTCAAAGCATACGGAGTGCTCTATTTATAGAGCAACTCCAAGCACACATCTTTGACAATATAATCTCCACATATCAATATTCTGCCAAGGTTTTCAACACTTTGGCAATGTTTTCAATGTTATGGCAGGTATTCAATACTGTGGGCATTCATTACCCACTAGTATTTTCAACACTCCCCCTTGGATGCCCACATATCAACATTAGTTGCCTCGTTAAAATCTTGATCTATTTTTGGATGCTCCCCCTTGATGAGTTTCTCCCCCTGATTTCAAATTCTTTAGGCTGATCATTGATCCTGCTGCTTTAGTCTTTTAGCGGTGATAGTTGCCGAATGAGGTGTTTCACTTGTTGTTAACTTTCCACAGGCTTGTTCTTGAACTGGGTTAGAGGGTCTTCTACTAGACTTCCTCCAAAGGTCTGAATTTACCTATTTTATCTGGAGCTGAATTTGATTCAAGGGTGGTGGACACTTGATCTTGAATCGGACTTGTGATTTCTTCAAATGCCGTCTAGGCTTGATCTTGAATGAAATTGGACCATGAGGAGCTTCATGTGACAAGTGATCTTAAACTTTGTCGGGGATAAACTGACATGTGTTTGTTGTGCTTGTTTCCACATGCTTCAATGTATCATTTTCACTTGCCTTACTTGCTCCCCTTGCAGAAGTGGTATTTTCCTTATGCAGGTTTGGCATCTTCTCTTGTAGTATTTGTCCTCTGATACAGGAGTGGAATGCAAACCTTGCATTTGAATGGACCATCACTTCTTGGTGGCAGCGCAAGTTTGAGTGGAGGTTCCGACATATTGCTTTCTCTGTCCTTGTCTTGGCAGGTAAGAACAAGGACAAAGGAAAGGACAGGGAGATTACATGATATGAGATACTCTTGCTCTCGTCCCTGATGATATGAGATACTCTTGCTCTGGTGTGACTTGTTTGTAGAGGTATTCTCAGAGAGGAAGAAAACTGAGTATTTCGAGATACTTTGTGAAAGATGCATTCTCGGAAATGAGGAAGAGTTAGATATTTTTCAGTTCTGCCTTGCCGTGGAGGACAGAGGTTGACATATATATGGATTTCCCAATAGCAGGTAGTAGTGCTGTACCTTTACTCTTGTCAGCAACTGTGGTGTAATTAGAACAGTAAGATTCACGCATTTTCAACTTTATCAGAGATCTTTGACAAAGTTGCACGTGATATCCAAGAGCTGAGATTGCGTCTAAGAAATGTTAACAGACGTCATGCAGGGAAATCCAGCTTTTGAAATTCGAAAATCGGTGTCTCTTCGATTTTTGAATAAGTGGTCCTGTTGCCCCTCCTTTTATAGAGATATCAATTTTGTTCAGAAACACTCAGAAATTGTTGCCTGCAGAAATTTCCCTTTCTTGCACTTCTGAGATTTTATCTGACTTCCTTCATCATTTTTGAAAATGGCTTGCCCATCTAACATTTGCTTAGATTTGAGTCTCAAGATTGATACAGACGAGCAGCGTCAGGATAACATATGGTGCCCGTCCTTCTCATCTTCTAATGGTCCTCTTACGGTTGGGGACTCTGTGATGAAGAATAACATAACTGCTACAGTGGTAGCCAGAAATCTTCTTACTCCAAAGGACAACAGAATCCTTTCAAACCGGTCTGATGAGGCGGCCGTTCAAGACTCATTGGCTCTCAGTGTTCAATGTGCGGGCTCTGTATCCAATATGGGCCAACGCGTACTTGCTCGAACTCACCAAGTTGAATCATTAATGGCTGAGGTTGCAAGTCTTAAACAAGAAATTAGAGGGCTCAAGCATGAGAATAGAGTGTTACACATGTTTGCAAATAATTACTCTACGAGCATGAAAAGAAAGCTCGATCAGCTACTAGAATCCGAAGGTTAGACTCAAAATGACAATCGGGGGTTCGAGTCTTTATTCCAAAGACATCCATTGTCTTAGCTGTCTGGAGTTCCACCAAGTATTGAGACTTCAAATAATTAACTTCTGGTGTTTTCCCTTCTGGGGTACTTCCGAGTACTGAGGCTTCACATGAGTAACCTTTGTGAAGGTTCCCTTCTGCTTGTTAGTTTTAACTCATGTGTATGTAATTTCTCAGAGATATTAATATATAAGCTTTATTTCATTCAGTGTATTGTGTTAAATACAATAAAGCATATATTTCACTAAGATGTGGTACTTCTAGACCAAATATCAATTTATCTTTACCCTCGCGAAGATAAATGATCATTCTTAGTGTCTAAATCATTTGAGTATTCAACTCATAATCTTCAATCCATATGATTCTTTAATGTCATAAACATCATGGATTAGATTCGTGTTGGCATATTGTTCGATTCTGTAGTTCGGGACAATATTTCTCTCAACACTTTATAATCTTTCTTGACTCTTCAGGAGTCCCAATTTAATATTATCAACTCTTGCAAGAGATTTTAGTATGTTGCAACAATACCATAATGAAAGTGCTCACTAAGGCAATTTATACCATCCATTGGTATTGAGTACATATTTTATGCTTTACCTTTCCGGGGCTTACTTCAAGCAATTTAAATCCTTCAGGGATTTTCTACACTTCATGACACATTTTCCTTTAGAATTTATACAGAGCAATTCGCTTCCATGTATATTTGAGGGATTTACTCATGGAGATATGATGTGGGCGACTCATAACCCTTTGTATATAATTCTCCATTCATATGAACTCTTTTACAACCTTGTGTCATATCATGTGAGTGTATTTCATAGTATTACAAATGCTCATATGTAACCTTCTAGGTTCAACATCCTTTGGCTATTTGTATTGTATCCAAGTATATAGGTCTATTTTTCCACGTTCTTACAAAATTGTAATGGAATTGCCTATTTCCATTTTGGCCCATAATTTTGTTGATGGAAAAGGAACGGGACTCAATATCACCATAGCTCATTGATGAATTTAGTAGCTACTTGTAAAAACCAAAATTACCATTGGTTATCATCAATTTGTGATCCCATATTCTCATGTGCATGCGCATGCATAAAAACTTTTCATTTCTTTTGGGATATCCATTGCCTCTTCAAGGGCATTACACTATCTCTTCTAGGATAGTTATAATTTAGAGAATGTGGATCATAACCTCCTCTTGAGCATTATAGAGCTTGGATTTTAATCTCCACTTCGGGAGTTGAGTCATTGGAACCTATACGTCTATCATGCTTCATGCATGAGACATCAATATTCCCATGTCCGCGGATTGATCTTTCCGGGACAAGTATCCTTGCGGCAACTGTCATGCGTCTGGCATGCGACAGTTATGCTTCGGGAATGCAATAGTTTTAGTAGTGCCATATTCTTCTTCTTTTGAAGGACTAAACCTTTTGAGTTTGAGAATCTGCCACGCTTCAGGCGTGCAACAGATAAATCATTTGCTGCCATATTATTTTGTCCAATAGGGACATTAATTCTTGTAGGCACATTTGCAGCAAGCATATGTGATTTTATCACTTTCGTTGCATCATTAAATGCATCTGGCATTTGATTTGCATATCGTTGCATCATTCAATTATTCTCACTTTGTTTGTATATTGATTGCTTCATGAATCAAAATACGACAAATTCTCTTCGTTCTTCTGGAACGGTTTTTTCTCATCATTCTTCTGGAATGATATTTGCTCATCGTTCTTCTGAAACAAAGTTATTTTCTCCCCCTAACGGCGGGAAAATTGTCTTATCAAAATGACAGTCCGCAAACCACGCGGTAAATATATCCCCAGTCAAGGGTTTTAAATATTGAATGATAGATGATGTTCAACATCAATGCCTAATCCGCAATGATGCTTCATTTCAGTATGTTGTGGCAGTGTAATAGGCACATAGATAACACAACCAAAAACTCGTAAATGTATAATGTTTGGCTGGTTCCCAAACACGAGTTGTACTGAGAAGTATTGATGGTTGTCAACAGGTCTTAACCAAATCAATAATGCATCATGTAAAATGACATGTCCCATGTAGAAACTTTGGCAATTTCATTTTCATCAGCAGAACGCGGGTAATTAATTTCATCCGCTTAATAAATGCTTCTGCTAAACCATTTTTGAGTATGGACATAAGGAATTTCTGGTCCTTATTTAATA